GGTTGGTTGGTTGGTTGTGTGGTTGGTTGGTTGGTTGGTTGGTTGGTTGGTTGGTTGGTTAGTTGACTGTTTGGTTTCTTGGGTGGTTAATTGTTTGTTTGGTTAGTTGGTTGGTTAGTTGGTTGTTTGGTTGGTTGTTTGGTTGGTTGGTTGGTTAGTTGACTGTTTGGTTTCTTGGGTGGTTAATTGTTTGTTTGGTTAGTTGGTTGGTTAGTTGGTTGGTTGATTGGTTGGTTGATTGGTTGGCTTGGGCTTTTTTGTTTGAGTAAAAAGCAACACATTGACACTATAGCTGTTTTTTACTGCTAGAACAAAAAGGGGAAATTGAAACAACAGAGAAGAAGAAAAGTAGACAGGAGTTACCAGTGGCACCCTTCAGCCACTGGAATTAAGATAGAGAGCGAAACATCTTAAATTCTGTCACCCCTTCCATTTCTGTGTTGATATTAAAAACACTTTTTGTGCAGATTTCATATTATCTCCGAAGCTTTTCATTTTAAACTCAATAAAAATCGAAGAGCGTTTTTCCGGGACTAAGTAGTACGCAGAAGTGTTACAAGAAAGTAACAAACACACAAAAAAAGAAGGAGAAATAAGGACAGCAGATGTTTGACAGGAAAGATGGAGCAAACCCCACCAGAGCACCCGCCAACCACCCGCTACAATCAAAGAAGACACATGTACAGGCGTGGTGGTTGTTGTACAAACCTCAAAAGCCATCTGGGTTGTTTTGGGCGGTTTCCCGCAATAGTCAGGTCCCCTGTTGGGTCCGAAGTGTAATTCCACCATTCCTTTGACGGGCTGACCGAACACATATCTGGACACAAAAGTACGAGAGCTTGATTGCTTTGGTCTTATGTTTCGTTTTTTTTTAATATATAACTTTTTCCGCGTTTCATATTGTTTGAATTGTTAAGATTTTTACTAAAGATTGATCAAAAACAATAAACTCACACATAATATATATTATATAAACACATATTATATATTCTTTTTTGTATATAGGGGAGACAGAGACAGAGAGAGAGAGAGAGAGAGAGAGA